CTAGAGACAGAACACATTACTTGGTGCTAGAGAGAGAGAACACATTACTTGGTGCTAGAGAGAGAGAACACATTACTTGGTGCTAGAGAGAGAACACATTACTTGGTGCTAGAGAGAGAACACATTACTTGGAGCTAGAGAGAGAACACATTACTTGGTGCTAGAGAGAGAACACATTACTTGGTGCTAGAGAGAGAACACATTACTTGGTGCTAGAGAGAGAACACATTACTTGGTGCTAGAGAGAGAACACATTACTTGGTGCTAGAGAGAGAACACATTACTTGGTGCTAGAGAGAGAACACATTACTTGGTGCTAGAGAGAGAACACATTACTTGGTGCTAGAGAGAGAACACATTACTTGGTGCTAGAGAGAGAACACATTACTTGGTGCTAGAGAGAGAACACATTACTTGGTGCTAGAGAGAGAACACATTACTTGGTGCTAGAGAGAGAACACATTACTTGGTGCTAGAGAGAGAACACATTACTTGGTGCTAGAGAGAGAACACATTTGGTGCTAGAGAGAGAACACACATTGGTGCTAGAGAGAGAACACATTACTTGGTGCTAGAGACAGAACACATTACTTGGTGAGAGAGAACACATTACTTGGTGCTATAGAGAGAACACATTACTTGGAGCTAGAGAGAGAACACATTACTTGGTGCTATAGAGAGAACACAGTACTTGGTGCTAGAGAGAGAACACATTACTTGGTGCTAGAGAGAGAACACATTACTTGGTACAGTACTAGACAGAGAACACATTACTTGGTGCTAGAGACAGAACACATTACTTGGAGCTAGAGAGAGAACACATTACTTGGTGCTAGAGACAGAACACATTACTTGGAGCTAGAGAGAGAACACATTACTTGGTGCTAGAGAGAGAACACATTACTTGGAGCTAGAGAGAGAACACATTACTTGGTGCTAGAGACAGAACACATTACTTGGTACTAGAGAGAGAACACATTACTTGGTGCTAGAGACAGAAACACATTTGGTGCTAGAGAGAGAACACATTACTTGGTGCTAGAGAGAGAACACATTACTTTGAGCTAGAGAGAGAACACATTACTTGGAGCTAGAGAGAGAACACATTACTTGGTGCTAGAGACAGAACACATTACTTGGTGCTAGATACAGAACACATTACTTGGAGCTAGAGAGAGAACACATTTCTTGGTGCTAGAGAGAGAGAACACATTACTTGGTGCTAGAGAGAGAACACATTACTTGGTGCTAGAGAGAGAACACATTACTTGGAGCTAGAGAGAGAACACATTACTTGGTGCTAGAGAGAGAACACATTACTTGGAGCTAGAGAGAGAACACATTACTTGGAGCTAGAGAGAGAACACATTACTTGGTACTAGAGAGAGAACACATTACTTGGAGCTAGAGAGAGAACACATTACTTGGTGCTAGAGAGAGAACACATTACTTGGTGCTAGAGAGAGAACACATTACTTGGAGCTAGAGAGAGAACACATTACTTGGAGCTAGAGAGAGAACACATATTTGGTGCTAGAGACAGGTACCACATTACTGGTGCTAGAGACAGAACATTACTACTTGGAGCTAGAGAGAACACATTACATGTGTGCTAGAGAGAGAACACATTACTTGGTACAGTACTCAGATAGAGAACACATTACTTGGTGCTAGAGAGAAAGAACATATTACAGTAAAAGCAGAGAGAACACATTACTTGAAAAGTGAGAGAGAACACATTTGGTGCTAGAGAGAGAATTATTGATGGTGCTAGAGAGAACACATTACTTGGTGCTAGAGAGTGAACACATTACTAAAAAGTTAGAGAGAACAGATTACTTGGTGCTAGAGAGAGGAAATACATTACTTGGTGCTAGAGAGAGAACACATTACTTTGGTGCTAGAGAGAGAACACATTACTTGGTGCTAGAGAGAGAACACATTACTTGGTGCTAGAAAGAGAACACATTACTTGGTACAGTACTAGAGAGAGAACACATTACTTGGTGCTAGAGAGAGAACACATTACTTGGTGCAGTACTAGAGAGAGAACACATTACTTGGTACAGTACTAGAGAGAGAACACATCACTTGGTACAGTACTAGAGAGAGAACACATCACTTGGTACAGTACTAGAGAGAGAACACATTACTTGGTACTAGAGAGAGAAGACATTACTTGGTGCTAGAGAGAGAACACATTACTTGGTGCTAGAGAGAGAACACATTACTTGGTGCTAGAGAGAACACATTACTTGGTACAGTACTAGAGAGAGAACACATTACTTGGTACAGTACTAGAGAGAGAACACATTACTTGGTACAGTACTAGAGAGAGAACACATTACTTGGTACAGTACTAGAGAGAGAACACATTACTTGGTGCTAGAGAGTGAACACATTACTTGGTGCTAGAGAGAGAACACATTACATGGTGCTAGAGAGAGAACACATTACTTGGTACCAGAGAGAGAACACATTACTTGGTGCTAGAGAGAGAACACATTACTTGGTGCTAGAGAGAGAACACATTACTTGGTGCTAGAGAGAGAACACATTACTTGGTGCTAGAGAGAGAACACATTACTTGGTGCTAGAGAGAGAACACATTACTTGGTGCTAGAGAGAGAACACATTACATGGTGCGAGAGAGTGAACACATTACTTGGTGCTAGAGAGAGAACACATTACTTGGTGCTAGAGAGAGAACACATTACTTGGTGCTAGAGAGAGAACACATTACTTGGAGCTAGAGAGAACACATTACTTGGTACTAGAGAGAGAGAAGAGAACACATTACTTGGTGCTAGAGAGAGAACACATTACTTGGTACAGTACTAGAGAGAGAACACATTACTTGGTACAGTACTAGAGAGAGAACACATTACTTGGTGCTAGAGAGAGAACACATTACTTGGTGCTAGAGAGAGAACACATTACTTGAGAGAGAGAACACATTACTTGGTGCTAGAGAGAGAACACATTACTTGGTGCTAGAGAGAGAACACATTACTTGGTGCTAGAGAGAGAACACATTACTTGGTGCTAGAGAGAGAACACATTACTTGGTGCTAGAGAGAGAACACATTACTTGGTGCTAGAGAGAGAACACATTACTTGGTGCTAGAGAGAGAACACATTACTTGGTGCTAGAGAGAGAACACATTACTTGGTGCTAGAGAGAACACATTACTTTGGTGCTAGAGAGAGAACACATTACTTTGGTGCTAGAGAGAGAACACATTACTTTGGTGCTAGAGAGAGAACACATTACTTGGTGCTAGAGAGAGAACATTACTTGGTGCTAGAGAGAGTAAACACATTACTTAAAAAAGCAGAGAGAACACATTACTTGGTGCTACAGAGAGAGAACACATTACTTGGTGCTAGAGAGAGAACACATTACTTGGTGCTAGAGAGAGAACACATTACTTGGTGCTAGAGAGAGAACACATTACTTGGTGCTAGAGAGAGAACACATTACTTGGAGCTAGAGAGAGAACACATTACTTGGTGCTAGAGAGAGAACACATTACTTGGTGCTAGAGAGAGATCACTACAGTAATATTTAAACTATACTGTACCTTCATCACTCAATAAGACCTGAAGTAAAGTTACTGTATAAGGCTTATGAAGTGTGTTGCTAGTGACATCACGCAGACATTATGGGTGCCTCACAGTTGGTGTTCCAGGCACGACTGTCATATTGTGTCTATGACCAACAAACTGAAATATCCAAAGATGTATGTTTCAAGTATAGATTACAGTCCAGTACAGTATAATACAGTATAATGCAGTATAGTATAATACAGTACAGTACAGTATAGTTTAATAAAGTACAGTGCAGTATAATTCAGTATAGTATAATACAGTACAGTATAATTCAGTATAGTATAATACAGTACAGTACAGTATAGTATAATACAGTACAGTACAGTATAATACAGTACAGTATAATATAATACAGTACAGTGCAGTATAATTCAGTACAGTATAATACAGTACAGTACAGTACATTACAGTATGATACAGTACAGAAAAATACAGTATAATGCAGTACAGTACAGTATAATACAGTACAGTACAAGTATAATACAGTACAGTATAGTACAGTACAGTATAATATAGTGCAGTACAGTATAATACAGTACAGTATAGTACAGTGCAGTATAACACAGTGCAGGGGCTTGTCAGAAGGTACAGTTCCCTTCACTAGTGTGTTTACAGGGGCTTGTCAGAAGGTACAGTTCCCTTCACTAGTGTGTTTACAGGGGCTTGTCAGAAGGTACAGTTCCCTTCACTAGTGTGTTTACAGGGGCTTGTCAGAAGGTACAGTCCCCTTCACTAGTGTGTTTACAGGGGCTTGTTATATAAACATTTCACATACAGTATTACATTAAGATATTTGTTTTAATATTATTTTACTTTGGTTCCATAGTATGTTTATTCTTGTGACTTTCCTTCTGTAGACTGTAAATAAACACAGGGCTGCCACACTGCACAAACCCTGACAAGCCCCTGTAAACACACTAGTGAAGGGGACTTTACCTTCTGACAAGCCCCTGTAAACACACTAGTGAAGGGGACTGTACCTTCTTATTTAGCACATTGACGCATCAGATAAGAAGATAATACTGTATTACAACCGACTACATTGTGTATGTTGAATGTTTAAATTAATGCCCCACATATTTTGTACTTTGTTGTAAGGATGTCATAACATTATTACATTCAATCCTTTTACATTTTGAGATTATCAATTTGTTGCTTATCATAATTCACTTTTTGTTTTTTTGCTTTTACTTTCCACGATGCTTCTTGTGGTGTGAGATTAATGGTGATTAGTCAGCCAGCCATCCCATGTTTTACGTGCTTCACTTCTTAGGCTTCCAGATGCCATCATTAATTTTATTTTTTTCCATTGTAATGGTGGAGGTGGAGTTGTCCTTTGTTTATATGTCTGTATTTACTAACGACTTCCTGTCTCCCCCTGCCAATACTACCAGCCAGTGGACGTTGCAGATGTAAGTATAATGCTTGGTATGGTTAACTTCTGCTATCTCAAAGTGATCTGTCATCATATTTATTTAAATTATATTTCATCTCTCTTCTTGCATTGATGACCTATAGTTGTTGTGGAAAACACACACACACACCACACACACACACCACACACACACACACCACACACACACACACACACACACACACACACACACACACACACACACACCACACACACACACACACACACACACACACACACACACACACACACACACACACACACACACACACACACACACACACACACACCACACACACACACACACACACACACACACACACACACACACACACACACACACACACACACACACACACACACACACACACACACACACACACACACACACACACACACACACACACACACACACACACACACACACACACACACACACACACACACACACACACACACACACACACACACACACCACACACACACACACACACACACACACACATACACACACACACACACACACACACACACACACACACACACACACACACACACACACACACACACACACACACACACACACACACACACACACACACACACACACACACACACACACACACACACACACACACACACACACACACACACACACACACACACACACACACACACACACACACACACACACACACACACACACACACACACACACACACACACACACACACACACACACACACACACACACACACCACACACACACTGAACATTTATAACTTATTTTATGGGTTAACTTATGGAAGGTTAGAGAAGAGTAGGAAAACACGGCCCCAGTCACTGGCCCCCCAGAGGCAGTCGTTGTACTGTACTGGGAGAGTTGTTTATGTCCTCCTTTTCACCCTTACCCAGTAGCTATGGACTCCCTACCTCCTCCCCCCCCCCTCCATAGGTTTTAAAATGGAATGCAAACAACATGAAACATTCACCAATGATGGCCACCATATAAGAGTTAAATATGGCTCTGGATTGACTTTCCTCTGCATGCTGTTTTCACTTAATATTGCCCAACCTAAACTAATGTAACTTGAAACAAATCCGACCCAACTAACTTAAATGCTACCCAACCCAGTGCTACCCAACCCAGTGCTACCCAACCCAGTGCTACCCAACCCAGTGCTACCCAACCCAATGCTACCCAACCCAATGCTGCCCAACTCAACTCAACTCGAAACCAAACAAACTCATCATCAACATTTTACAACCTGAGGGCAGAGCTGTTCGGGCTGCACGGTCTCTTGTCAGGTTCTTAACTCTAATGTCATTTCTCACAACCTCTCCCCATGTTATTCTTGGCCTGCTCCTGGCTCTCCTCTCCTCCACATACAGACTCCTGCACCTCTTGAACAAATCAGTCTCGTACATTCTCTCCACATGCCTAAACCGTCTCTGCTTTGCCTCTACACAGGACTTCACCAATATTCTCAATACCCAACTGCCCTCTTAGCTCTGAATGGCACCTCTTGTCCTTCAGTGTCACATTACACATCCACTTCAACATTCTTATTTCAGTTCACTCAAGACTACTTATGGCATCTTCTTTAACTGCCCAAGTTTCACTGCCGTACAACACTCAGTACACCTCTTGTGTACCCACCTACCACACTCACTGTACCCACCTACCACACTCACTGTACCCACCTACCACACTCACTGTACCCACCTACCACACTCACTGTACCCACCTACCACACTCACTGTACCCACCTACCACACTCACTGTACCCACCTTCCACACATTATACAGATGCTGCCAACACCTTCCACACGTTGCCACTCTCCACCACAGGTCCCTCACTAATCAGTACTGTTCTTTTCACCACATTCACTCTCAGGACCTTTGAGTCTATTCCATCCTTCTGTTTCTTAAATTTCTCCACTGCCTCTACAATACTATCAGCACTACAACAACTGACCAGTCCCATCATATTGCCTCCAGCACCATGATAAACAGAAGGGGGCTCAAGACACACCCCTGATGAACCCCGACTTTAACCTCATGTGCTATTTACTCTCACAGTAGTTTTTTGAGCCCTCATATAATGCCATAACCACTTGAACTAGACACTGCTTGACCCTTACCTTTGTGCTACTTCATGTGGTACCCTCTCAGATGCCTTCTGTAAGTCTACAAATGTGAAGTCCATGTTTTTCCCCTTCCCTACCTTTTTCTCTTGTATCTTCTGGCCATAAATAATGCATCCGTAGTATCCCTACCTGGCATGAACCCAAACTGTATTTTGTTAATGTCCACTTTCCCCCCATTTAATTTCTTGATATCACTTTCTACAACTTTCATGACTTGATCTAGTAGCTTTAGGCCCCTGCAATTCCCATGTTCAAGTGCATCACATCTACTATTGTAAGTGTTCACAATTCCATTCTTCCACCAGTCTTCTGGAACAGTACATTCCACCGTGATTGCATTAGTCAACTCGGTCACCACTGACACGCCTAAATTGTCTGATACGTTCAGAATTTCTGTTACTATCCCAGAGCTACCAGCTGCCTTTCCGATCTTCACCCATTCTCAAAGTATCCAACCAGGAGCGAACTCTTAGCAATGGTTTTAAATTAGACAAATTTAGATTTAGGCGCGAAATTGGTAAACATTGGTTTGGAAATAGAGTGGTGGACGAGTGGAACAAGTTACCAAATATCATCATTAACTCGAATACGCTGGATAGCTTCAAACATAGGTTGGATGGATATATGAGCAATAGGGGTTGGGTGTAAATGGGACTGCCCAGTTTGGGCCAATAGGCCCGCTGCAGTTTCCTCCATTCTTATGTTCTTAATCTTTGGGCAGAGTCTCAACCCAATCTAAGGCAAAATGAAATACTGGTAAACCCAAACTAACCTAACTCACCAAACCTAACCTATCACAACCCAACCTATCTCTCTGCACCTTAATTCAATGCAGTGCAATAAAGCTCAGCCCAGCCTTATCTTTTATCCTGATTTATTCTTATCAGTCTTCCTGTACAGTTGGGAATGCTGTACAGATGCCGTAGCTACTTCACTCCTGAGCAGTTGCTTCAAGTATATAAGGGATTCATTCGTCCTAACTTGGGGTACAGCTCTCATATCTGGGGTGGCTCTTCTGTCCAACTGTTAGATAGGGTGGAATCAAAGGCATTTCGTCTTATTTACTCTCCTCCTTTAGTTGACAATCTCTCTTCCCTTTCTCTTCGCCGCAATGTTGCTTCACTCTCTCTCTTTTACTGGTACTTTAACGGGCAATGTTCGGTGGATTTGGCATCCTGTGTACTGCCGACAAGGCCGTGGGCTCGTAACACATGTCTTGCTCGCGGTGCCCACTGTGTCTCTGTGGATGTCGGTCACACGAGAATAACCCGTTATAGTACCTCCTTCTTTCCTCACACAGCCAAACTGTGGAATGCTCTGCATTCTTCTGTGTTTCCATACTTACCGTATATACTTGTCTATAATCCTCCCTCGTTTATAGGTCGACCCTGATGTTTTGACCAAGAAATCGTTAATTTATGATATTCCTCGTTTATAGGTCGACCCACGTTTTTGAGGGTAATGGAACAACTAAACCTTAAGTAAAAACACTCTACGTCCTATAAACTGAGGCTCGCCGTGCCTGAAACACAGAGTGCCGAAGGCAAATTGTTTACCATTTATTATTCCGACACTTTACACTGAAACGCGGGTAGTTTCAAAAAAAATATTGTATATTTCCATTCAAGTATTTATTCAAGTCAATAAGGGGGGAATATTATTGTAATACAACAGATTTTTAACTGAAAACCATTCGAAAAGCGATTACGGTAACATCTTTTGAACGAAAGAGAAAGTCATTGCTTTCATCACGATTTTATCCCACTTTCCACTGTAATACGTACGTCATTTCAGCAAAAATATTACATTTCCGTGAATGTATTATATCAAGCACAGTATGAATAGAATATCACTAATATAACAGTATTTTAACCGAAAACTATTAAAAAAACGAGTAACATCTCTTGAACATCAGAAGGTTAGGTAAAGTCTCTTTTTTTCGTCATGTAGTTTATCCTAATTTACATTGAAATACATCACGTTTCAGCAAAACTACTATTTATTTCTGAGAATATGGAAATGTAATATTTTTGCTGAAATGACGTACTGTATGTATTACAGTGGAAAGTGGGATAAAATCGTGACGAAAACATTGACTTTCGCTTTCTTCCGTTCAAAAGATGTTACTGTAATCGCATTTCGAATGGTTTTCAGTTAAAAAAACTGTTGTATTACAATAATATTCTATCCTAATTCACTTGTGAAGTAACAGTTTTTTAATTGAAAACAATTCGAAAAACGTGTGTACCGTCTAGCACTCTAGCTTGTACGGCAGAGCCCTGGCCACGGAGGCTTTGCTTTTGCATCGGCCCTTCTTAAGCAGCCTTTAATTTCAGCGTACGTTGAAATTGTGTTTACCAGTATATTCTTATTTTCTTGCTTCTTATTTTCCAGAAATATGACAAGTTTGTATATATTACAATGTTACGGCACTTTTAATTTACAAGTATTCATTTTTAAAAATACAGAAGACACCAAACAAATACCAGTACGGATATTTGCGTGTCTCTCCCGCCAAAAAAGACCAAACAGCTGGTACTCTCTCCCTCAGCCCTACCAAAAATAGCCCAATGACATCTTTATTGTTTATTCTCTTCCAATTTCTCACTTTAACTGGTATTTTCTACTTCATATTGCCTACATCAGATAAACTACAGTAATTGAGGTTAGACACTGTTATTAATTTGATTACCGGGTCCTGGCAGGTGCCGTTAGAACCACCTGACCCTACCAACAGTGTTGCAAGTCAGACAGCATTTTTTTTTTTACATTTTTTGTGTCTCCATTTGTTAATTTTTTTCCTGTGGGGTTTGCACAATAGCAAACCGTTTTACCTACAGTATTGTA